TATTTTGAGCTTTTTGAGGAACCTCCCTACTGCTTTCCACAATGGTTGAACTAGTTCACATTCCCACCAGCAGTGTAGGAGGGTTCCCCTTTCTCCACATCCTCGCCAGCATTTGTTGTTGTTTGTCTTTCGGATGGTGGCCATCCTAACTGGTGTGAGGTGATATCTCAATTGTGGTTTTAATTTGCATTTCTCTGATGATTAGCGATGTGGAGCATCAATAAGATTTTTAAAAAGCTTGAGTCACAGGTAACAAAAAGCTGATACAAAAACTGTTGTTGGTGTTTGGGTGTACCTGTGTATGTGTTTGCCTTTGACCTAACAGTTCCCCTTGTAGTAACTTACGCTGAGGCTGTACCTCCACAGATACAGAAACATCAAATGTACAAGGTCTTTCATTGCAGCATTATTTGTAGTATAAAATGGGACAACCTGAGTGCCCATCCAGGGTGAGTGAGCTGAGGTACATCTACGTGACAGAAAACTGCAGCTGCAGAAATAAAAGAAAGACTCCTGTGAATGGTAGGGAGTGATTTCTAAGATATTTCAAGTGATGAAGAAAGTACAAATGAGTGTACTTCAATAAAATGTGGTAAGAAAGACTGGTACTGTTCGGTGTCTCCTACTGTTTGGAGGCTCCTGGCGCAGACAAGTTGGAGAGACAAGGAGGACGGTGGGTGCCAGGAGAAGGGGGTGGTGTGTGTGTTCACTGGCTGGAGTTTCAGTTGGGGAAGATGAGAAAATGCCAGGTATGGGTAACAGTGACGGTGGTACAACAGCGTGAATGTTTGTTTGTTTTTTGGATCCACTTTCAACTTATTACTCCATCAGAGATTATTTCTGTTTCTTCTGTTGTTTAAAGTCTTTCTAAACTGAGATCCTTGGACATGCTAATTTCGTTTCATGTATTAGCTAATCCTGTGAAATCTCCTTTACACATCAGTTCGAATTGAACTAAACTGGCTTGTTTTCACCTACCACAGAGAAATCTTCCAGAGGAGTTGTCATCTTTAACAGTTCCATCTTATTTGTTTCCTGCTGGCACCTCTTGATCTTTGGTCAGTTCTGTCCATGTGGAGGCACGATCAGAAGGACCCCCTTCTTCCCGAGGAGCTGAAGGTGACTGTGTACTCGCCGCGTCACCCCCAGCCCAGCAGCGCAGTCAGTGTTGTGCTTTTACAGCCTTCTGGCATTCTTGCAGCTGAGTTCAGAGGTGTGGGTGGTTGATGGGGAGTGGAAAGAGATCTTTAGGTCTGAGGCCTCCTGGGGCAGGGCATCTTGAGAGGCGGGAAGATCGGACCGTCAGCTAGATAGTGGTCATGCAGACATTGTGGCCGAGGAAGCATTCTACAGGGAGCGCTGCTCCAGCGTCTCATGGCGACAGGCAGAGCATATGTCCTCGGCTTCCCCCTCTGGAATCGGTCAGGCGCCCCCAAGCTCTCCTGATGATACCGGCCGTGGTCTTTGGCCAGGTGTGCAGGATGTCGTGTTCCAACAGATGCTGGAGATGCAAAGGTGCTGAGTCAGATCTTTCTCCACCTTCAGCCAAGAAGCTTTTCCAGGGAAGGCGTCACACCTTTCCCATCTTTGTTTCCCCGCTGCTTGGCTTGGCTCGACAGCTGACAGAGATGTTCTCAGTATGTTTGTGGAGAAATATTACTGAAGTGTTCTGCTCCATTTTGAACTTTGCTTTGCTTTAAGGACCTGAATAGCATCATATCAGCATTTGTATTCCTGGACCCTTCTTCACATGAGAGTATCAAATGCCTTCCTGATGAGATGGCCTGAGGTGAGTGATGCCAGCGTGAATGTTCTTAATGCCACAGAGGCATATGCTTTAAAATGGTTAATTTACTACAATTTAAAAAAAAGATGAGGGATCTGAGGCAGGCCCAGAACCCTGAGTGATGGACTTAGCCCAGAGGAAGAGGAACTGACAGGTGGAAGGAGAAACCACCTTGTGACACCTGGAAGGGCCCCTCCTCCAGGAGCCTCGGTCTCCAGGGCAGCGCAGGGCCAGCAGGGTCTGACTGTAAGAAGAAAAAAGAGAAGAAAAATGGAAAATAAGAAAGAAGGGAAAATAATGTATGTGCATTTGCTTCTTGTTGCAAAAAGAAACACCCAAAGATAGTCTAGAAACTAAGTAAAATGAGAATTTATCCAAGTAGGTGGGGATAAGCTGTAAGGAATCCGTCTAGGAGTAAAACTTCTCAGAGTATACCTTTTTGCACAATTTTGGCTTCTGAACCATGCACACATTCTTCATATCCAAAAAAATTAAAATGGCAATGATAGAAGAAAGTTAAAATTAAATTAAGATGGAGTAAACGAACCTATAAGTATATTGAATTAATAGCATAACCACATAGAAACAGTAATTCAAGTCAGCAAACCGCACTCTGTACCTTAGTGAGGTGTGTTAAAAAGAAAAAAAAGACTCCAGAGAAATTTGCCACAAAGATTTGTTGTTAACAGAGATCAGTGTGGTAATTCTGAGATCACTGGGTATATTTTAGGGTAGAGCAAGTGAATAAAGATACCCGTGTTGGGAACTGGGGTTCTCTGTGAGAAGGGAGATTAAACACAGTATGAAAAAGGTGAGGAAGATCTCAGTACGGGAGGTGTCAGTGTGCGTATGTGATTAAGAAATGCCTAGCTGTGTCCTCTGAGAGGGCCTAGGGGTGGTGATACTCCAGTAGCAATGGGCACCCCTAGCCTCCAGATCTTGGTTTCCAAGAAGCTTTTCCAGGGAAGGCGTCACACCTTTCCCATCTTTGTTTCCCCGCTGCTTGGCTTGGCTCGACAGCTGACAGAGATGTTCTCAGTATGTTTGTGGAGAAATATTACTGAAGTGTTCTGCTCCATTTTGAACTTTGCTTTGCTTTAAGGACCTGAATAGCATCATATCAGCATTTGTATTCCTGGACCCTTCTTCACATGAGAGTATCAAATGCCTTCATGATGAGATGGCCTGAGGTGAGTGATGCCAGCGTGAATGTTCTTAATGCCACAGAGGCATATGCTTTAAAATGGTTAATTTACTACAATTTAAAAAAAAGATGAGGGATCTGAGGCAGGCCCAGAACCCTGAGTGATGGACTTAGCCCAGAGGAAGAGGAACTGACAGGTGGAAGGAGAAACCACCTTGTGACACCTGGAAGGGCCCCTCCTCCAGGAGCCTCGGTCTCCAGGGCAGCGCAGGGCCAGCAGGGTCTGACTGTAAGAAGAAAAAAGAGAAGAAAAATGGAAAATAAGAAAGAAGGGAAAATAATGTATGTGCATTTGCTTCTTGTTGCAAAAAGAAACACCCAAAGATAGTCTAGAAACTAAGTAAAATGAGAATTTATCCAAGTAGGTGGGGATAAGCTGTAAGGAATCCGTCTAGGAGTAAAACTTCTCAGAGTATACCTTTTTGCACAATTTTGGCTTCTGAACCATGCACACATTCTTCATATCCAAAAAAATTAAAATGGCAATGATAGAAGAAAGTTAAAATTAAATTAAGATGGAGTAAACGAACCTATAAGTATATTGAATTAATAGCATAACCACATAGAAACAGTAATTCAAGTCAGCAAACCGCACTCTGTACCTTAGTGAGGTGTGTTAAAAAGAAAAAAAAGACTCCAGAGAAATTTGCCACAAAGATTTGTTGTTAACAGAGATCAGTGTGGTAATTCTGAGATCACTGGGTATATTTTAGGGTAGAGCAAGTGAATAAAGATACCCGTGTTGGGAACTGGGGTTCTCTGTGAGAAGGGAGATTAAACACAGTATGAAAAAGGTGAGGAAGATCTCAGTACGGGAGGTGTCAGTGTGCGTATGTGATTAAGAAATGCCTAGCTGTGTCCTCTGAGAGGGCCTAGGGGTGGTGATACTCCAGTAGCAATGGGCACCCCTAGCCTCCAGATCTTGGTTGCCAAATTCCATTTCCCACTAATGGAACCAGGGATCCTTGGAGAAATGAATTTTCTAGGTTCTGGGCAGGCAAAATTCAGTGTGAGCCTGGATATCTTGTACCAGAAAGCAAGGAGGTGTTCTAAAATTGATGGGGACATGTCAGAAGAAGAGTGGCGTGAATGGGTTCCTTCCTGGCAAGTCTGGGGTGTTTGAGAATCGAAAGAGAATGGAGTGGATGTTTGTATTTAAGAAGTCCGTGCACACTGTGTGTGGAAGTCATGATGTGTCCCAGGGGGGTGTGGGGCTCCGTTATGCATGGTGCCAGCAGAAGAGGAAGGGTGAAAGACTTGGAGACTCAGTATTTTGCGGTTGACAAGGTGATCATGGATTAAGAGAATGGTCACCAGTAGTTGTCAAACAGCACTGTAAGCATTTGGTGGGGTGGGGAACAGGATGACCGTAGTCTGAAGCGTCATCCCACAGGTGACTGGTTACAGGGGGAGGCTCTGTTTACATTGGATGATGTGGCCGACTCCACCACGACCGGGTGTCAACTCAGACTTCCCCGTGTGGACAGATATGGGCCCTCGGTGGGATGCAGGTGGGGGCAAGCGGTAGCATTCTTTGCCAAAAATATTTAACCTGAGTCAAATAACGAGAAATAATCAGACAAACCTAGACTGTAGGGCATTCGTCATGGCAGCGGCCCAGACTCTTCAAAACAAGTGTAAAAAGGGCTGGGGGCCCTTCTAGATTGAAGGAGACTGAAGAATCCTGACGGTTAGTGCCTGGTCCTTGATCAGATCCTGCATTAGAAAACAAAGCAGAATGGCCTCTAGAGGCCATTATTGGATGAGTGGGAAAACTTGAACATAGGAAGAACATTTGATAAGATTATTGTTAAATTTCTTGGCTGTCATAGTAGTATTGTGGTTATGTGGTAGGATGGGCCTTGTTCTCAGGAAACATATACTGGAAGGATTTAGGGAGGCATCATGATGTCTCTAGCTTTTAACAGGTCCACAGAAAAAGTGCATGTGTGTAGAAAGAGACAAAATGGATATGGAGGGACATTAATGATTGGTGATTCTAGGGGAGGGGGTATGTGAATGTCTTTTGCATCATTCTTTGAACTTTACAGTGGGTTTGACATACTTAAAAATAACAAGGAAAAACATAATATGGGAAGTTAATTGATGGCAACCTATACTTCATCTTGTACTGTGTGTTAGATGGTGTGGCTTTATCGTCTTAAAAACAACTAACAAAAACAAGCAAGAAACCTCTTTATTCCCAGACTCGTAAAAGGAACATAACACATACAGATGGGTTTTACCTCTTTATGACCTGACACCCAGTCTAGCGTTTACTGGTTCATAGATTACACAGGGTATGAATGACCCCTCTCTTTGACACTGGGGTTAAAATGGGAAACCAAAACTCCTCTTTTAACCTAGGCATAGCTACATGATGGAACCGTATTCTTATTTATCAAGGGATAGTGCTTCCCCAAGGGGTGTATCTCAGATTGTTCAGAGAACAGGTTTCCTCAAAAAGAAAGTGGGAATTCTCTTTTCCCTCCCTATTGACAGTATTCAAATGGAATAAACATGTAGTCGAATAAATATGCAAAAGGCGCATAGGAATGCTTAGGGTGCCTAAAAATTAATTTCCTGTTTCAGGGTAACTTAGGTGATTTCTGCTTCATTCTTGGTGGTCAGGTGCTCTTGCAGGGCATGGGGCAAGTATGAGGCATGCTGTGCAGGCCCTCGGGGCTGGTTCTTCGTGGACTTAGGCATGAACAAACAGCCCAGTACGGATTTCTGGTTTTGTTTTGGTTTAAGCCACACATTTGCCTGTTCTTACTATGAGAGACCTAGGAAGCATTTAAATATGGGTAAATACATAGTGTGAGCTTGTGTGATGGTTGAGAAAGTCCTTGTTTATGTTTTGAAGCCCCCGGCTATACTGATTCATGGACTTTTTGTCTCAGATCCATTTACGTCATTAAGTGTTATTGAGGATCAAAGAGCTTTTGTTTATGTGGGTTTTATCTATTGAGGTTTGCTGTGTTACAAAGTAAAACTAAAAAAATCTGAAATACCTCTATTAATCCATTAGATTATCGTTACACGTTATCAGTAGTGATATTTTTATGAAAAATAATTAGTGAGAAGAGTGGCCTAGTTTTACATTTTTGCAAGTGTTTCTTAAATGTCTGACTCGATTGAAGAGGGCTAGGTTCTTGCACGTGCTTCTGTTAGCAACCCGAATGTCACAGAGCCTCTGGAAAACCCCCCTGTATGTTCCTGAGAGAGTGAGGTGAAAGAAGGCAGAGTGCCTTCGAATGTTACCAAATGTTTTTGGACCTTGCTGACACCCCTCTGCAGGACCTCAGGGTCCCCCCCTCACTGAGAACAGCTGCTTACGTACTGAAGTACCATGTCGTCTGATCTCATAGGCTGTGCCCACCAGAATCATCTGGAGAGCCTCTTAAAATCGACTGCTGGGCCCACCCCAGGGTGTCTGATTATCTGCTCTGTGTGGGGCCCAATGAGAAATGTGTTTCTCCTCCTTTCCCGCTCAGAGCCACTGTTCTAGAGAGTTTTGACAATGTTTGCATCACTTTGAACACCCTGCCCACAGTCACTTTCTGACATCATTCTTTTCCTCACTGACTGCATTCACTCTGACATTAATTTCACAAACGTTTGTTTGGGACCCACTCTGCCGGCCGTCGCGGGCCTCAGGGCTGCCCCTGCCCTCACTGCGTTCTGTCTCATGGGGAGGCCAGGACCCAGCCCACACTTCCTGACATCCCCGCTGCTCTCCAGCCTCAGCTTGCTGCAGTTTTTGGTACATATTTAGATTTTATATTTAAGTTTAATTTTAATTCTTACCAAGTGTGGTTGTAAAGTCCAGTTGTGCTCTGCAAGTGGTGTAACAAAAGTAGCTGCAGTGTGACCCTTACCACCCTTCCTCCCACTCCCAGACTCCTGGCTGTTCCCTTCCAGCGTTTTGCCCCTCGATTTTCGATGGTTTCTATTGACTTTCTCTGTGGCTGGTACCCCCACATATTTCCCTTTTGTGACCTCCATTGTTTCAGTACATTTAGTGGTAATCTTGGTTAATAGGCACTCTGTGTCTATATTACTTTGATTGCAGACATTTTGCACAGCCAACCCATTCAGTATGCTGTGATTACAATTCCTTTCTGATACAACCATTTGCCTTTCCTAGAGTTGGTAATTGTGTCATGTTTCACTAGTTTAGCTTCCTGGGTGCCCATCAGTAGTTCCCTCTAGCTTGTCTTCTGGGATCTCATCATTCAGCATGTGTCCTGGACCTCATTGTTGTGTACTGGCCCCTGTTGTTGTGCAGGAGCTTGGCCCCCTGCCGCTGGGCCTGGTGACCTGCTTGGGGAGCACCTCTGGGTGTCTCTCCCGAGGCAGCTTTCCTGTCTGAGGTTCCCATCAGACGCTTAGCCAGGCTCTTCCCAGGTGCACCACCTCAATTCCTTTCTGATACAACCATTTGCCTTTCCTAGAGTTGGTAATTGTGTCATGTTTCACTAGTTTAGCTTCCTGGGTGCCCATCAGTAGTTCCCTCTAGCTTGTCTTCTGGGATCTCATCATTCAGCATGTGTCCTGGACCTCATTGTTGTGTACTGGCCCCTGTTGTTGTGCAGGAGCTTGGCCCCCTGCCGCTGGGCCTGGTGACCTGCTTGGGGAGCACCTCTGGGTGTCTCTCCCGAGGCAGCTTTCCTGTCTGAGGTTCCCATCAGACGCTTAGCCAGGCTCTTCCCAGGTGCACCACCGACGCCTGGCCCACTGCCTGAGCTTTGCTTCGGTGTCTGACATCCCCTCTGTGGCCCTTACTTCCTGCATTCCTGTTCCGAGTGGGTTCCCACCTGTCCATCCGTCCCTGTGCATCTTCTGGGATGCTGGGGCCTCTCCTCTTGAGCTGTGATTCCAGTGGACTTTTACGAGGAGCGGAGGACTCGTGTTCACCCACATAAGCCCCCTCCTCAACACCCCGTGTGTATCTTCAGAGCAGGCTTAGGGATGTGCCCGTGTCCCATTCTCACCGGCGCCCCTGTGGCCCCTTGACCTGGAAGGGCAGGACGGGTTGGTGTCACTAAGCGGGGAGTGGCAGGGCTGGGGCCTTCTCTTTTCCCTTGATGTAATTAATCTGTAGGAATCTGTGCCAATGCGGGATTGGCTTAGCCTTTCTCAACTTGTATTTTTTGTGTTGTGGAAGTTTTGTATTTTGACAAAGCCCACTTATATGAAATCAGGTTTTTGTAACCCTAGAATTTACACTACGTTGATGTACTATGTTGCTAGGCATTTATTATTTTCCAGTTTTCTCTAGTAGGGGTAATGCCACTATACCCTCAACCATAAATTACTTTTCACATCCCTAACTTCTAGGAAGACCTAATGTTGTGCCTAAAAATTGAGGTTCTTCTCTTGGGCTTTGAAGCTATAGAAACTTGGAAGGGGTTTAGTCAGGCATTCTTAGCATTTCAGAGCTTTTTTGTGGCATCCAGAGTTGGTAATGAAGGGAGGAGGCAGAAAGTCCTTGGCTTGGCTTCTGGAAATACATCATCTGTTTCAGCGAAAGCTTCCTGTCGCTGCTGTAGAATACACGCCCCGACACTGGAAGCTGATGAGCTGTGCTGCGCTGCCCGTGTCTCCGTCCCTGCCCGGCCTGCAGAGCCCTGGCCCTGGGCAGCACTGTTAGCCACGACCACGTGTGTCCCCTCATGCTCACAGCCGTGGTGCCGGCCACCCCACGTGTCCCCTCACGCTCACTTTTTGAGGGAACTTCTGAGTCGACACTCTGGGGCTGGGTGGAATTCACAGGGCCACGTGCAGAGGTGGGCGAGTCCAGGAGGAGGTGATGGGGAGGAGGGTCCCGAGGTGGGGCAGGGCAGACTTGCAGGGCCAGCCAGGCCGGGAGCCCTGGTCTTCAGTCCCAGGGAAGTTGGGGTGAAGAGTTTAAGGAGAGAAAGGTAGGTAAAGAGATTTTGGGCCACGTGCAGAGGTGGGCGAGTCCAGGAGGAGGTGATGGGGAGGAGGGTCCCGAGGTGGGGCAGGGCGGACTTGCAGGGCCAGCCAGGCCGGGAGCCCTGGTCTTCAGTCCCAGGGAAGTTGGGGTGAAGAGTTTAAGGAGAGAAAGGTAGGTAAAGAGATTTATTTTTTTCAGAAGATGGGAGTTTGGAGAGGGCAGGAGTAGGTGGGCACCCCGCTCAGGAGGCCAGCGCAGGGTTGACGAGGCTGGTGACCGCATGAACTGGGGGGTGTTTGAGGAGGAGGAGGGGGGCCAGAGGGTCAGGGCTGCAGCGACCCTCGGGAGGCAGTAGTGACGCGCCCCCGCGGAGCCCCGAAGCTGAGTGGATGTAGGGGGCCGGCGGAGCCTGGGCCTGCCTGGGCAGGTGGGGACAGGAGATGAGGCAGTGGGGAAGTGGGAGCCCTATTTTTTTCCATTGGTTGATTTCTATTTTTTATTACATGAAGAACATTTATTCTACCTCCTTGGAATCTCCTGTTCACATTCCTGTAGGTCTGAGTAGCATATTTAGCATAGGCATTCTGTAAAAGCATGCTTCACCTGGTCATGTGTTCAGCACTATTACAGCTTTGTCAATTTGTTATCATGTGATACTTTTAGAATTGGAAAGAGCTTGAAATGTTTCTGGACCCTAAGTTTCTATGTTCCCTTTCTTTTTATTGAAGACTTGCTAAGTGGCTTAAAGAACTTGTGATACGTCGAGGATGGGACTGCTTTCTGTGGAAACGAGAAGTACAGGGACAGGGTGACCAGGGTGGTTCTTTCTCCTCTGTCCTTTCCCCCTGCTGGACGGCGTGACTGGTGGTGGTCTCCCCAGGACTGGCTGGCATCTTAACTTCCTAAATAGCGTCCCCTCTGCTGGAGGACATCCCCTTGCTTTGCTGCCAGTGTCCTGTTGGTCGTCTCTCAGAAGGTTACGGGGGAGTCTTCACCAAGATGTTCAGAAGACACAGTGAGATGCTTGTCCTTTACCGGAAGAAAGGCTGACTTCTGAAGATGCCACGTGCCCAGGCTGTGACCGTCCATACCAGGAGAAGCACCGGGGGCTGTGTCTCCTGGCAGCACAGCCGAAGAGCTGGAGAGGCAGGGTGTGAGGAGGCGCGACGAGGTGCCCCCCACCGCCCCCCCACTCCTTCAGCTTCCCTAGAGACAGAGGAAGATACACTTGGCGCCATTTTTCTTCAAACTGACATTCCTGGTGACTGGAGTCATAGCTGTCCTTTTTATTTTCCTTTTTCTCTTTTCACTATTATGTTTCCTACTACTTTTTTTTATTAAGGTATCATTGATATACAATCTTATGAAGGTTTCACATGAGCGACATTGTGGT